TAAGGAAAAGAAATCAACTGTCTAGTTCTACAAGGTATTATGTAATTTCTTTCAGAAAGAAAGGCAACTGCACTTTCTTTTTCTGACTGCTTACTCATCTGCTTTCCTCAGGGGGTCATCATACACCTCCCTCTTACCTTCCCCAGTCCTTGCTGTGCTTCTCATTTTCTGACATGTTATTGTGAATGATGATTTATAGAGGCAGTGCTCTGAGACAGTGTTCTGTGTGATATACTGGTACATGGGACTTACAAAATGTCTGTTTCAAAAGTAATTAAAAAACATGTTAATTTTATGATCTTAAATTTCTTGTACTTTATCCGTTGTTTTTTTTGTTGTTTTGTTTGTTGTTTTTTTAACCTAGTAAGTTATGTGAGCTTATCTCTCCAAATGAAAATGCTTTTATTCTTTTAACTAGTAGTTACTTTCCTATCAGTCTAAGAATTTCTGCTCTGTGTTGCAGGACAGGAGACAAAATTAGGGTTAGGCGATAGTTTTCTAGATAAGATGAAGTAAGTCTAGCCTAACAAAATAATATTTATTTTGTCATAGACCCAAGTTTACTTGTCCTCTTCATCTCCCATCCTGAATCATTAGTCATCAGGATTAGGTAACGTGACCCTTCTATGTAAATAAATTTATGGATGAGGAGCTGCCATTATTAAATTGTAATATTTGTTGCCTGCTCTTGTTCTGCTTGTGTAATAGGGACAGAAGGAAGAAATTTTCTTAAGCTGTTCCCGTTTTACTGAATGGAAACCTTGTAATGCTTTAAAGTAAGAAGTGAAAATAACAATGCCACTGCTGGCAACAAAAGATGATGTAATTTTTTCCTCCTTTAGGATCTAAAGAAATATTAACTACTTTGGGAAAGATGTGACCAGTTGTCACTTACGCAGTTGCAATAGGTACAAATGCAAAAATACGATTAAAAATAAGACATGAGTGTTTGAAAATGTCAATAGTACAATTATGATCCTGTGAAACATTGTTTACTGGCTGAACAGGTACTGAAGGTGCAGAGTTTGAGCTGTAATTTAACCTTGTTGCAAAACCTGTGTGTTTCACAGCATCAAGGCTACCTGGAGGAAACCACATCTGGCTCTTGGTCAGGAAGTGACTGGAAACTGAGGGAATACTTCAAGGGAACATCATAGAATCACAGAATGGTTGGGATTAGAAGGGATCTTAAAATATGGTCTTATTCCAACCCTCCATCATGGGCAGGAACATCTCCCACTGGACCAGGTTGCTCCAAGCTCTGTCCAACTTGGCCTTGAACACCCCCAGAGAGGGGGATATGAAGGATCAAGGCATGGAAACAGTTCACAGTTACCAGGGAACAATGGGCTGGATAGGCCTTTGTCTTACATAGTGCAGCCACTCTTATGTTTTGTCCTTAAGTAGGAAAAAAACAAAGAGGTAATAACTATGCCAGTTACTGCCCAATGTGATGAAAGAGCCACTGGCTTCTCCACCAATAGAAAAGATGGGCATACAAGTGTGGGATGAAGGAATACAATGAGTATTTTGGTCAATTTGGCACTGTTTTTTTCATGAGAAGTCATTCAGGGAACTCATAGGGGTAGGGATACTCTTTTATTCAATGTATGGAGATCAGTCCTGCCTTCAGCTTTGTCCCTTCTGAATTGCCTGCTTGGTGGCCCTTTTTCTCACTCCAGAAAATGGGCAGGGAGGCAAGAGGAGTTGACCTGTGTGGGAGCAGGTTAAATGCCTCCTTAGGGAAGGGGGAGGAAGTTGCTTTTTACTTCTACCCAAGCAACTAGATCATCACAGGAATGACAGAATTACAGAAATGGCTGTTCTTCCTGATATTTTTCCAATAAATTAATTGTGATTCAACTCTTAATGAGAGAAAGATGAATAGAAATACTTTGCATGCATGTTGTATTCAAATAAATGTTGGAACAACTTCTAGTATTTCTAACTTTAGTGCTTGATTTTACAGCTTTCTCATTGTCATAGTAGTATTAAATATGCAATTCCTAACTTTAAAGAAAAAGACATAGAAGGTAACTTAATACCTTTTCTGGCACAGCCTACAGTGGTGGAACACAAACACCTACCTGAGGGACTGGATGTATGCAAAATATATTTGTTATATTGAATATATTTATGGAGTAAGAAGGAAACATTATGCACAGTATAGAAGTTTTATATGGGCATTTTGTCCATATCCCAAAGCAAGACACTCACTCACCCACGCATCCAGCACTCAATAAGCATACCTACTTTATAACCCTAGCAGGTTGTAGAGTCTTGTTTTCTGCATATCACTCACCCCAGTTTGAAAAATTAATCATAAGTAGTTGGAAGCATTTTGATTTTAGCTGATATGATGGGGTTCAATGTAGCTGTCGATTTTTTTTAACAGGGGTGAACAGGGAAGATTATTATTTTGTCACCACCATCTTTCTTCTGTTTCTGGTATGTGTATCAAACAGCTGAGGGCTGTGTCTTCCATTGGAGATATCATGTAAAAATTTCAAACCCTGGCACTTGTAGAAACACCTGAGTACTCATGAAAATGGGAAAAGAAGAGAAGATTGAAGTTAGCTTTACAGCAGCCTACATATATGCCATAGGTGTCAGTTATTTATGCAGAAATAAAAAAAAAAATGCAGTGAAAAGTGCGCAGTGTAATGAATCATTGAGCTTTAAATATATTTTAAAAATATTTTTACTAATGGTTAGAGATGTACATTTATTACTTTAAAAAGGCTTTTTAAGTGCTTTTTCTTTTATATGGGTTAAGAGGGAAGTAGGGACTCTGAACCAAAGGCCTGACAAATAAAAACTTTCCAATAAATTTGTTAAGAATAGCTGTAAACTAATCTCAAGGTATTAAATATGTTTTGAATTTTGTCTGTGATTACCAGCTTGCAAATAGCTTATATTCCAAAAGTATTTTCTGTAATAAATGCAGAAGCATCAAATTCTCTATTGCTTTTTCACGAGTGAAGTCATATTATGATGAAAAACTAATACTGCTTTCTGATAAAGTGCTGATGTTTTCTTGATATTGAGCATCCTGAGAGCCCAACTGGAAGGCAAGCAACCACGATCTATTTCAATTAGCATACAAGTACATTAATTGTTTGAAATCCAACTTGATTTTTACTATTTTTCTTTTTTCTTTTCAACTGCAATGACATTGAAAATCTCAATCAACATTCCGTTACAAGTGAAGATTATAACCAAAACCATTTCAGCAAAAATGGATGATTTGACATCCTAGGAGCAACAGCCTCCTCCAGATATTGTGCTTATACAGGCTGTGTATTTGACAGCGCTGAGAATGTGCTTCTTTCAAACTTGTAGATTAGTTATGGAGCTTTGTTAGATTGTCTTGTCACTTTTTATTGCTCATGTAGAGAATTGTGAACACAAAGGACTTTTCACAGAATTGTTCTGTGTGATGGTTTTTCTAGTTTTTGTCCTAGAAGATCAGCAGGATTTTGTGTTTCTTTTAGGGCAGCTTTCACATTTACTTTTCACAGGTTTCCTAGAGATTCTTGCGTGTACAAGATAAGTAGTTAATGAGGATTTTTTAAAGATACCAATTTGAAAATAACGTGAAGGGGGAAAGGAGGGAAGTTGACACAAGTGATGGAGTTCTAGCTGGGATGGCCTAGAAGTGTAAAAGAAGCATGTGAAGAATTGTATTTTTCTAGATATCTTTTTTATTTGTAGATAGTTAATGCTTTTGAACAAGCCTGGAGAAGTTTTGAGGTACATGAACAGTTCCTCAACTCATATGCCTGAAATGTAGAGTGATCTGATTTTTAAACAGTTCAATTTGGAAAAGTTCCACCATGAACTACATCTTTTATCATCTGTAAGTCTCTAGCAGGGAAACTGAATAGAAAAGTTCATAGTTTCTAGACAGAAGGTTCATTCTGATGGAGTATTCTGGAGAGGTTGGATTTTCCCATTTGATAAAATTGTATTGGAATATGTTTTGGTCACTCTACTGAGGGACCCAGTTAACAACACCCATTGAATATTACAAGTGAAAGAGAGTTTCACATTGAGGGATAACACGTTTGCATTCCCTGTACTACTAGGGATGGATTTGTTCCCTCTAAAATCCAGAAGAAAACTGATCACAGCCTGTCTTGTGCTAGCTATTTTCCCTGGTTGTCAGTATACGTTATACTGCATTTTGTTGACATTCTTAGTATTTTTTTCTAGACAAAATTGATATTTTGGGAAAGTTGAGAAACTACTTGGTTCTTTTTTCGTTCTTTAATAGCATTTTACTTTAATTTTGGGTTCGTTTGAGCTCTAAATTATGGTTGGGTTCAATTATGAACAAAGCTTAAACTTGGAGTTAGTGAACCTTCTTTTTGCCTTTTGTGATGATTTCTCAGTTTGCTTTTGCAGAGTCACTGATTTGTAATGCTTATGGTTAAATTAGTTAGAAGCGACTAAAACTGGGTTTAAAATATAAATGACAAGTTTTGATAAATAGGGAAGCTGAGGAGAAAGAAGGTATTTATTCTGTTACTGAGAGTGATGCATCTTAAATGCCAGCAGGTGGTCAAATGAAAACTAATAGTACTAGTTGCTTTTAGTAAGCCATTGTGCAAAGCAAGGACTCTGTTAATTGCCTTCCCTTACCAGCACAAATGATTAGTAGGTAAGAGTGTCTTTAGCATTGTAGGACATCATTAGTGGAAACCTGTTAATGAAACTTTGTCAGATACTGGTATTAGACATTTGATATGTATATATAATTAGAAAATTCTGTGCAGATTCAACTCATTTGCCACAGTAGAACTAGTTCCCCCAGCATTATTTGTTGTTTTATGTGATTTTGTCAATTGTTTTTAGGATAGTAGCACAGCGTTAAATTTGGCTTTGAAGTGAGTTGAGAAATCATTTAACTGAAAATCAAGTTGATTCATTTTAAACCCTCTTGCAATTTTGTTGGGGTTTTTTTTGCAAAGTCAGTACGATAGATTAGCATGAACAATAATGAGCAATCAAAATCATTTATTCCAGTCAAAATCCATTCTGAATTTTTATAAGCAAAACAGGTTTTAAGCCTACTTATTATATGAAAATACTCTCACTGCTGTTCAGCAGAGCAGTTAGTGTGTGCATGTTAGTCATACAAGTACACAAAAATTCATCTAGACTCTCTGGTTGAAAGACAGCATCGAAAAAATGTATTAGAAATGGCATAAAGCATTCAATCTGTGTTTACAGTGTTTAGCAGATAATTTTTATTAAATTCAGGCATAAAATTTTCATTCGTCTTAGGTAAGCCAGAAATGGATGTAATTATGAGATTTACATACCATTAGCTCACATCAATTGATTAGCAGCTGAGCTCTGTGGTACAAGGCTAGTTAGATACATTATTTGCAATGCCAGGAGGCTGCAGGTCAAGGAGATTTACTGGCTGCACACTCGTTTCTCTGTGATTACTTGATAAAATGAAGTGCATCACTGTGAACAATTGACCCTTTCGTACAATCCAGACTGGTCAGCAGTCTAAATCCACATTTTAAAGCCATCATGATAGCCTCAAACTTAAGAGTTTCCAGGGTGCAGACAAAGGTGTTGTCCTCCTTCAGTACCAGTCGTGTACCATTTTCAGACTTTATGAAGTATTTGAATTGAATAATATTTGAAGATACCGAGAACTCCTCTGGAAATCCATCCAGCCTGCTTTTGGATACCAGTACAATTCTGGATTTTATTTTTGCAATGAAATCAGGAGCATTACAAAAGATTCTAAGTCCTTGTGAACGGTCATGGCTGTCAGTTATTTCCAGGAAAGTAGTCTCTCGAGATGCTAGCTGTTCCTTCTCCCACCTTGATTTCACTGCATCCGAGAGTACCTTGAGCTGGAAAAAATCTGCTTCTTGTGCCAAAAGTTGATTTTCTCGAAAGCCTTCTGGTAGAAGAAGTTCTCCATTTCGTAGGAAGTTGAGAATGTGTCTGAAAAGGAGTCCATCTCTGTCTATGAAGTAATGACCATCTGCATCAAATGGGCACATAATTTTTCCGTTTATGATCCCTTCCAGAAAAGAATCTGGGTACTTGGTTAGTGTCTGTTTTTGTGTGATATATAGGTAGCCGCCAACATTCAGAGTAATCAGAGACGTTTTGTACTCCTTGTCTTGCTCAGAGCCTTCAGAGTTGCTGTGTTTTTCATCGCATTCCTTTTCTCTTCTGTTTGTTCTTCTCTCCATTGTTGAAGTTAGGACAAAGAGCCAGCTATCTTTCTTTGTTCTTGTCAGCTTGCAAAGAGATTTTACTATTCTTTATGTTTTAAAAAGCACCTTTATTCTGCTCGGACACGATTTTGGAATGGAAATGCTGCTAGCATTGCTCCGACTGTCAGCTCGGGTTTGCAGTAGGTGGCGTATCAGCTGTGTATGCAGGGAGGTATCAGGGATATGACTGTAAAGGAGAATTTGCATTTAACTGTGTAAGGGAAGAAGGGTATAATAGCTGACTGTCACTTTCTTTCCTTTAACTCTATCAAGTTTACATAGTTTTGAAGGTTATTCACAGAAAGACATACTACTAATTTAAATTACACATTATTCTTAAAACTTGAAGTTGTATTTGTAGTAGCAGCTGGTCAAATCATGTTTAGTGCTTATGGGATTAAACAGATAGCTTCAGTTATGTTTCAAGGATTTTAAGTTTTCAAAAAGCATCTTTTCACAGGTTTTTTTGGTACTGATTACAGAATCTGATGCATACAGCAGAAAAACAGTAAAAGGAAAGGTGTCCCTGCCTGTACAAGGAGGGTGGTGTCTGTGGAGTGTGTGCACATATGTAATTCCTCATTTATAGGACATGTGTGCAGTGGTAAGATGTTTTAACATCAGATACTCTGGAATTGATACTGAGAACTTGTTTGTCTGACTGTGTAAGTTTGTGGTGAAACCTCCCATTTGCAGTCAATGGGAATTTCTGTATCAACACAAGAACTGCAGCCTGATTAGGTTTTGCTTTTTGCCTTTCTCTGTGCCACAGATAAAAACTGCTCTAAAGAGGGGACTTACTCTTTTTGTCAGTGATGTTCTTTAAGTCACCAAGGGTATCTAGCATCAGTTTGTTCTTTCTCGATAGAAACAACTCAACTGCCTTGCAGAACAAAGGGTTAGTGTGCCTACAGATAGCTCGGATCACAGAACGCTATAGCTTAGCAACACTTGGTACAGGGAGGGGGCAAACATCGGCAGCACACGCTTGAATCAAATGGCTGTCTTCTCTTCATCAGTCTGTGCTTTCATGCTCTCTCTCCATTGTCTGTTAGATCTAGGTTTTCCCTTTAAATATTTGCAGCTTGGAGAAGGAAAGGGAAAGCTCTCCAGGCACCTCTGTGTGTGTTTGCTTGGGGAGTGAGCTGCAGCATGCATTCCCCAGCATGGGTGGGAGCAAGCACCTACCTTGGGCGGGACCTGGAGAGGAGGTCCCATCTTTTTCAATATGTATTTTTCACTTTACAGGTAGATGTGTCTCGTTTTGCCTGATTAGCAGTGAAAAGTCAGATTATTCTTCTGTAAATTCTTCTGCTCTCTTTCTAAATGTTCTTACTGCTACCACTGTCTCTAAGGCTGTTTACTGGTGCAGAGTCATCACTATAATCTTTTATTAAATAAATATAGTAGAAATAAATGCACTTTTTTTTTACTAGCTATTCTCCATGTCAGGATATCCCTTGCACTGATATTCTATTTTTTTCTACTGATGTATGTGATGTACTAAGCAGATACTATTCATTAGGTTTGATTAATCAGGAATTAGTCATGGCTTTAATTTTAACTCTTCGGTGCAATTGATATGTTTAGCATGACTTCAGTCAAAAATATTTCAAGCAGTTTCAAATTTTTTAACGTCTGGATTTTTTCAAAATTAACTCCTTTCAAACAATCAAGTGAGTTAGTGAGAAAATGAAGGAGCCAATTAGTTTTGAGTATGATTTAAAAATAAATTTTTTAAATTGCCATTATAGGAGACTTCTGTTCAAATGCAGTTTGTTTTCAAGTGATGTAAAATTCAGTTAATGTGCTTAGATCTTACATAACTACATTGTTGAACCATCTTAGTGGATGTTAAACCCTATAAGAATTATTTATGTGGTGACTTCATCTTACACAGTGATCTTGAAATACTTTGAAGCTGAAGTAGGAATGTCCAGGCACAAGTAAGTGGGAATTTTCAAGGACAGCTGGGATTTGTAGAGGATAAGACATTTTTCATGGCCAGCTAAACTATCTGCATTTGAAGAGGCGATAGTTACAAAACAGTATCTACTCACTTAGTTTTTCATGCTCATCATCTTCTGAATGTTCTAACACTTGTGGTTGAAATTCTCCACTTTTGTGAATGAGTAAGTAGTCTTTGAAACATGCAAATTCATTTTAGTGGTTTGTATGATAAAATATTCAAAATCAATTTGATGTGGAAGATACACTTTCTGGAGTTCATGAATATTTACGTTTAAACCTTTCAGACTTGAGAAGGTAGAGCTGCTGTAGAATTTTCATCACCACAAACCCTTGACTTGGCTGCAGCTGACAGTCAGTCATCCGTAACATGAAACTGAAGACTGGCACATCTCTAAAATTTTCCACTTTCTGTGTTGTACTACCAGATAACTTTTCCAAAGAGCCCTCGTTCTTCGTCTGCACTCGGTGATACATATGGTATTTCAGTGCGTGTAGTTTTAGTGAGGTAGGAAATATTTTTGTGGTTTCAGTAGGAGGGCAATCCACAGAGCTTTGCAGTTTCTTCTCAGTCAGACAAACCATCCTGGAGACAGTGAAATTGCAGTGCTGGTGTCTATCAGCTACGCAGGAAAACAAATCCAAGGCTAGGCATCTGCCCCTCATTCCATCCTACATGTTTCCTTTTGGAAAATAACCTCACTTTCTCCACAACGTCCATCCTCCTCCTGAACCTCCTGTTCTGGAAGCTTGAGCATGCCTTGGAGCTGAGGGCTCAGAACTGGAGCACACCACAGACAAGCTGGTGCTTTAAATAGGGGTCAGCTGATGTCCAGACAGCATCAGCTTCACTGAGAATCTGCTGTCAGTGAAAATCACCAGAGTTACAGAAAACAGTCTCTTTTATTTATTATAGTACAAAAGGATATGAGGAGAAATCTCAACTAGAAGAGGTACTGATCAGTGTGGGTGGAGGGAAAATGGAGTATGCCAGGTATTTCTCCTTTTTTATTGATTAAATTTTGTTCAGCACAGGGAGGTAATGCTTTTTTTTTGGTTCTGTTTTGGTGGTTTTGTTTGTTTGTTGGTAAATCTTTGAGTATGTCCCATTTGTCGTCTTGAATTAGCATAGATACTGTATGTTCATTTTCCTCTCATTTAACTATAGAAAAAATATTTGTCAGGTTTCAAACTCACAAATTTTAAGTAGTGAATTATCACAAAAATGTTGCTGTGATTAGATTCTTGGTCATATTTCTTTCCAGTCAGCGATCAAGAAGGAGATAGCTACTCATGAAGTCTGGAGATTATACAGAGGGAGAATGTGATCAGTAACGAGACACGTTGCTGATACAGAACCATTTGCATAGCTGGTTAGGATAACAATTTAATAAAGCTAAACACAAAGTTTATACATCTAGGAATGTACTGTAGATGGGGCTTGGAGTACCTGTGTTTGCGGGAGGGGTGTGGCAGAGGCTCTGCCCTGTAATAATGTGTCATTGACAACTGAACACAAAGTCATTGTTCTGTGCAGTGGTCAGTAATACGAATGTCCTGTGTATTTTTCAATGCCTAAATAAGGAATGGCCAAGTGAAGACTGGGCAGTCTTGTTTTCTAGCTGCACAGCTAGAGAGGAAAGGTGATCTGAGAAGGGCACCAGCTTTGAGGTTGCCCTTTGAGTGAAAAAGAGGTATGACAAAATACTTCTGGTCTGGAAGAGCAGAGCTGAGATCTAGTGTAGGAAGGTGCTGCTCTTTGTCCAGCCATCACGTGCAATAGCCTGGGAAACTACACAGCAGTTCAGGTGGGCAGTGGGAACTGGCTTCCATTTGGAAGGCCTTCTAACTTGGACACTGGGAAACAAAAGCCCAACAACCTGCTTGAGAAGCTGGGGGAAAATGTGGCCATAGCCTGTCCTTACTGTTCACTCTTCCAGTTTTTCCCCCTGCTTGGGAATCACGTGTCCTGAGGCAGGTCTTCAGCTTCCCTGGCACCTTTCACAAAGAGGATCTGGTAAAGCCCAGATTCTGTGCCACATGCTGTCAAGTCTGGCTGTGAGGCCCACAGCTCAGGAAAGAAATGAATGAACTAAACTTCTTGTCCTCACCAACGAGGAAGGACTGGTAAGGAGTGTTAAGTACAAGGGCAGCCTAGGTTGTAGTGACCATGAAATGTTGGAGTTCAAGATCCTTAGGGCAGCAAGGAGGACTCACAGCAAGCTTACTGCCCTTGGCTTCAGAAGGGCAGATATCAGTCTCTTCAGAGATCTGCTCAAGAGAGTGTCTTGGGATAACATCCTGGAGGGTAGAGGGGCCCATGAAAGCTGGCTGATATTTAAAGACCTCCTTCTCCAGGCCCAAGAGTGTTGCATCCCAACTAAGAGGAAGTCAAGTAGAAACTCCAAGAGGCTGGCATGGATGAGTAAGCAGCTCCAAGAAAAGCTCAGACTGAAGAAGGAAGCATACAGGGGATGGAAGCTAGGGCAGGTATCCTGGGAGGATTACAGAGAGGTTGTCCGAGCAGCTAGGGATCAAGTTAGGAGAGCCAAATCCTGCTAGAATTAAATCTTGCCAAGGATGTTAAGAACAATAAGAAAAGCTTCTTTAGGTATGTTGGGCAGAAAAGGACATCCAAGGAGAGTGTAGACCCTCTCCTGAAGGAAACGGGCGAAGTAGCAACACAAGATACTGAGAAGGCTGAGGTCGTCAGTGACTTCTTTGCTTCAGTGTTCTCTGGCAAGTGCTCCAACCTCAACACAAAGGCCACAGCAGATGAAAGCAGAGACTGGGAGAATGAATTACCCCCCACCATAGGTGTAGAGCAGGTTCGTGATCATCTAAAGAACCTGAGGGTGCTTAAATCTATGGGATCTGTTGGGATTCACTCACAAGTCCTGAGGGAGCTGGCGGATGCAGTTGCTAAGCCTTTGTCCATCCTATTTGAGAGGTCATGGCAGTCTGGTGAGGTTCCCACTGATTGGAAAGAAGGGAACATAGCTCCTATTTTTAAAAAGGGGAAAAAGGAAGACCCAGGGAACTACAGGCTGGTCAATCTCACCTCTGTGCCTGGCAAGGTCGTGGAGCAGATCCTCCTGGAAAGTATGCTAAGGCACATAGAAAATAAAGAGGTAATTGGTGACAGCCAGCATGGCTTCACTAAGGGCAAGTCATGCCTGA